TCCAACTAGCATCCTTCTTTTTGCCTTGCAAAATGGAAACCAGCGTGGTCAACTAGCATCCTTGTTTTTGCCTTGCAAAATGGAAACCAGCATGGTCAACTAGCATCCTTCTTTTTGCCTTGTCAGATGGAAACCGTAGGCCGCTAAACACTGGGGGCCCTGGCCCTAAACCCCAGGCCCCTAAACACGGGAGCCTTAAACCCGAGGCTGCTAAACACTGGAAGCCAGGGGGGAGGGGAGGAGAGGGGAGGGAAAGAAGGGGAAGGGAGGGGAGGGGAGGGGAGGGAAGGGAGGGGAGGGGAGCGAGGTAGGGGCGGGAGGAGGAGGGGAGGGGGGAGGGGAAGGGAGGGGAGGGGAGGGGAGGGGAGGGGAGGGAGAGGGAGAGGGAGGAGGAGGGAGGAGGGAGAGGGGAGGGAGGAGGGGAGGGGAGGGGAGGGGAGGGGAGGGGAGGGAGGGAGGGGAGGGGAGGGGGGGAGGGGAGGGGAGGGGAGGGGGAGGGGAGGGGAGGGGAGGGGAGGGAGGGGAGCCCTAAACCCGAGGCCCCTAAACACTGGGGCCCTAAACCGTAGGCCGCTAAACACTGGGGGCCCTGGCTCTAAACCCGAGGCCCCTAAACACTGGGGCCCTAAACCCTAGGCCCTAAACCCTGGAGCCCTAAACCCGAGGCTGCTAAACACTGGAAAAACGTCAAAAGCCACGAGTTTTGATCAAGAGCCACGAGTTTTGATCAAAAGCCACGAGTTTTGATCAAAAGCCACGAGTTTTGATCAAAAGCCACGAGTTTTGATCAAAAGCCACGAGTTTTGATCAAAAGCCACGAGTTTTGATCAAAAGCCACGAGTTTTGATAAAAAGCCACGAGTTTTGATCAAAAGCCACGAGTTTTGATCAAAAGCCACGAGTTTTGATCAAAAGCCACGAGTTTTGATCAAAAGCCACGAGTTTTGATCAAAAGCCACGAAGTCATTAGGGTTTAAATTACTATAGGTAGAGAGGTTTAGGGAGGCAGGGTTTAGGGTTTAGGGTTTAGGGAGGCAGGGTTTAGGGTTTAGGGTTTAGGGTTTAGGGAGGCAGGGTTTAGGGTTTAGGGTTTAGGGTTTAGGGAGGCAGGGTTTAGGGTTTAGGGTTTAGGGAGGCAGGGTTTAGGGTTTAGGGTTTAGGGTTTAGGGAGGCAGGGTTTAGGGTTTAGGGTTTAGGGTTTAGGGAGGCAGGGTTTAGGGTTTAGGGTTTAGGGTTTAGGGAGGCAGGGTTTAGGGTTTAGGGTTTAGGGAGGCAGGGTTTAGGGTTTAGGGTTTAGGGTTTAGGGAGGCAGGGTTTAGGGTTTAGGGTTTAGGGTTTAGGGAGGCAGGGTTTAGGGTTTAGGGTTTAGGGTTTAGGGTTTAGGGTTAGGGTTCCTTTGAGGGTTCTCAAGGGTTCCTCTAAGGGGTTCTATAGGGTTAGGGTTACGAATACGATGGTTCAGGGGTTTGAGGGTTTTAGGGGTTTGGGGTATCAGGGCTTAGGGCTTAGGGCTTTTGGGCTTAAAGCGTAGGGCTTAGGGGTTTTTGGGCTTAAAGGGAAGGGCTCAGGGTTTTGGGGCTTAAAGTGTAGGGCTTAGGGTTCGTAACAAACATGTCAGGTTCTGGGGGGTGGCATGCATAGAAGAGTTGCACACCTGAAATTTGCTGGTGGGTTTAGGGTTTCGGTTATAAGCTTACTGCATTGAGGGTATAGGAGCGCGTAGGACGCCTTGGGTAGTCAGTGTTCTCTTCGCCTCTACCGGCCCCTGTGGCACGGCTTCAACCCCACGAGTAGCGACCTGCACCGCAAGGACTCCTTCAGGGTATCGGCTTGAGACCTTTTTAACAGGCAGCACTCTGGAGATGAGACAAGTTTGGAGTCTCATCTCGCATGTGATGATTAGTTGAACGGAGGGGGCCAGTCAAAAGTGGGGTTTCGGGTTGGGGTCTCCACTATATTTTGTGGCCCAGCCTGACGCCCTCAATCCGAAGTCCTCATCGGCGATTAAGCCCTCCAACCCCCTCGAGCCGAACTTACGGAAATTACCCCGGGGAGCCTTCGCCGATAGAAGAAGATCCCCGGGTAGATTGCAGCACACATCCCATGTAATAGAAATCCGAGTCTATCACGAACTATACAAGCAATCTCTAGAACAAAACTAGGCCCGTAAACCTGAGAGTGGTGCCTCGTAGGGCCCGCTGGTCCACCAAGCCTGCCTGCAGAGGCTCAGGCTCCGTAGTTCGTGGACTTTCGAACTTATCGGAACAGATTTCCTGATCGCATCTTTTGCCATTACACTTGCACTTACACGGGTCTTCAAGCACCATATAGTTGCTGTGATTTCATGTGCTGTTCTTGTTCCATGCTTGTTCAGAAGACCACAATCTGTGCACGGGCCTTGCTGACCTTAAGAGCCTTGGAGCCAAGCTGAGTTGCTAGAAGTGCGGACTCCCTGTCCGAAGGCCTTGACGTCCTCTACGTCTTGCTGCAGAATCGATCTCACTTAACTACAGCGAAGTAAATCTCACCAAAAACCCTGAGCACCACAGAACCGGACAGACCAAAACGACCCAGGGATGCCCTAAGGCCTGCATGTCGGCAGCTCACCAGACCTTGCGATTTCCAGGTTCAGAGGCGGTAGGTGTAGTGACTGGTGACTGGTGCTCGGGCAATGCCATCGCGGATAAAGGCCGGGCCGGGTTTCACTAGCTCTACGACTCTACGAAAAAGGCTCGGATCTGTGGCGCACTGGAAGCCTTGTGTGAAAGTGTTTGATTCTCAGCACGCTGAGAGGCTGAAATGTGGATGCTCAGGAGACGTCTTGCGGCACGGAACATCGGCACAATTCTACAGCATGTGGCAGACTAGGCCTGCCTAGCGGACCTAGTAGCGCTCGCAGGGACGGCTAGCAGGACAGGGGTGGTACCACGCAGAGCTTCAGGAATTCGTGGCTGAAACAGGTGGCACGGGCAGTCATGCTGCAGCCACACAATTCAAAAACCGAAGCACAACTTGGACACTTCCAACAAGGCGACCTGCCATACCAAAGCCATGGCGGCCGTAACGACGAGTGTATGTTCAGTGTTAGCTTGTGATGTGCTGCATGGCTGATTGTGGCACTACCACCACGGAAGTAGGGCTGGTAGCTAACAATCACGTTTGTTTACCAAGAGTGCCAGGCACGCAGCCCGCTTGTACTATGTCTGTGTGGTTGATGCCCACCTGGCTAGATTGGTGTGTGCGCACGCAGCGCATGCCATGTCCGAGTTAACGTGGCTGCGACATGCAAAGTATCGATTATACTATCGACCTTGCGACAACGGAAAGAAGCAGTAACATACATGATCTTATATGAAAATATTGGAAGCCGCAATTACGTCGAGCCTGGAAGCCCAACACGATTTGCAAGATAAAAATCCGGAGTCTGGATGACGTTGCAAACACGTCGACTCTCAACTGCCAACACGCCCACAGCTAGGCTGTGGTGACTGTTGCGATGTGTGCTTGCCGGAAGCTGTTGCTGCTGCACAGCAGCAGCAGCAGCAGCAGCCGTTGTCGTCGTCGTCGTAGCTGCTGCTGTTGCAACAGTAGTAGTGGTAGTAGTTGTGGTATTAGCAATAGCAGCAGTAGTAGTAGTGGTAGTAGCAGTAGCAGTAGTAGCAGTAGTGGCAGTAGTAGCAGTAGTAGTAGTAGTAGTAGTAGTAGCAGTAGCAGTAGTAGTAGCAGTAGCAGTAGTAGTAGTAGTAGTAGTAGTAGTAGTAGTAGTAGTAGTAGTAGAAGTACAGTGACAGGGGAAATGCGGGCCGATATCCGACCAAGTTGAACGCACGCCTCAATCTTGCTGATGTTGTTTTTCAAGGGCGGGCAAAATTGACACGCAAAGCTTGCAAGCTTGCTCAAGAACCCCTTGCACCTTTGGACCAGTTGCACCAATTGCCCGCTTGCACCGCTTGACCACTTGCACCATTTCTCTGCTTGAAATGATGCAAGTGGCGCAAGTGGTCCAAGTGGTGCAAGTGGTCCAAGTGGTGCAAGCGGTTCAAACGGACCAAGATTGCGAAATTGGCCAAGATAGGCAAGATGGGCAAAATCTTGTTTCCCATGGAGCGCGCTTCGTTTCCCAGCAGAATGTAGAAGTAGAAGTCGTAGTAGTAGTAGTAGTAGTAGTAGTAGTAGTAGTAGCAGTAGTAGTAGTAGTAGTAGTAGTAGTAGTAGTAGTAGTAGTAGTAGTAGTAGTAGCCGTAGAGTGAAGGAGTAGTAGCACCGGGAGGAGTAGCACTCGTCGTCGTCGTAGTAGTAGTAGTAGCAGCAGTAGTAGTAGTAGTAGTAGTAGTAGTAGTAGTAGTACCAGTAGTAGTTGCAGCTGTGTGAGGGTGAGTGTAACTGATGCCAGAAGGGAGGAGGAAGAGCCTCAGCTCTTTCGTCGTCACCTCTTTCGTCATCATCATGATTATCAGTCGCTGCTGCCGGCGGCCATGACCAAGCAGACCAGTGTGGCACCTCGGCTGTCCAGCAACATCCCTACGGCTGAAGCAATCCATATCCGATCCCGAAACCCCGACCCGCCTTCGAAACCAAACAGGGCCCAAACCCTTGACCGAGACACGGTAGTCGTCAAGAAGCATTGCGACCAACATGAGATTGCAGGAGTAGGAGTACTTTTTAGCGGGGGTGGGAGGAAAGGCAGTTCGTCTTCACGTCAGTGTCTGGTAGAGAAGCTCCTGGCAAAGCAGACCAACCTAATTCAGCCCTTCTGTCCCGCGGGAAGGTTAACCCTTCACCCCCTCAGGGCCCATTCCCACCCGCCCTTTCGATTCCTTTCCGATGCTACCATATGGCTCTCTTGTGAAGCGCAGGGTGTGCATGCCTTTGGCACGAAAGACATAGTAAGGGCTACAGTGACTAGGGATTCTACGGAACGTGGAGGCTTTGTGCTCCCCTTGCAACCGTAAACATCAGCTCGCTCTTCTTGGAAGCCTGTGCTTCCCGAGAGCTGGCTACTCAAAAGGGCCAGAGGTCCACGTGATGTGAGTGCGCGTGCTCCGTGGAGTTCATGGAGACACAGCCAGTGGTCAGGCCCCAAAGGTGATCGGGGCATGTAAAAGCGAAGGAAATCTTGGCGATGATCCAAGCTATGAACACCAGGCCAGACAAGTAAGCTGAAGTCACGAGCAAAATCGTGAAAAGTGCCGAGCATCTCTGCTCGCACAGTGCACCCTGCCGAAATAAACCCGTCCATCCTACTGCGAAGTACCTCCACACAGGCATCAGCTTGTAGAGTGCCATCGCCAGGCCGACGCACATGGAAGCCAGTACCTTCCAGTGCCCACTCCTGTCTAGCTCGTCGAAGATGATGCCGTAGAGGGAGGCCTGCAGAAGGCACTCGGGCATCGCCCGGTAAGTGTTGAGACCATTCGTTCTGGGCCCATGGACCTGGAACACCCCCGATGGCTCAAGAACTCTGACTGTGGGTACAAACATAATCTAGACATATGCATAATAAGCAGATGCACCCAGACAAGCCACAAACGTGAAGCGCAGCCGGTTGCATTACGCACACCGGTCGTGATGATGACGATGATGGCGATGGCGACGACGATGCCGATGATGCTCATGATAATGATGACGATGATCATGATGATGCTGGTGATGGTGATTGTACTGGTGACGATGATGATGATGAGACGACAGCTATGACGACGATGACCATGACAATGCAACGACAATGACGATCAGGATAATGATGCTGATGGTGATGATGATGATGATGATGATGATGATGATGACGGCGGTGCTGATGATGATGCTGATGCTGATGATGACGATGATGATGATGATGAGGAGGAGGATACAGACGCTGGTGCTGAGAGAGGGGGAAGATTGCAAGCCTGACCTCTGCCATGTGTAGAGAGAAAGCTCCTAGCTGCTCAGAAGACGCCCCTGTCTTACACAAAATGTAGCAGTAGCCGGCCCGAAGTGACAAAGAAGCTGCTGTGAGAATAGGAAGTTCCACATTGCCACTTTCTGCTGCGCCTGCAGAAACAGCTGGATCAGGTTCTCCATGATAACTTTTGACAGGCAAGTTGCCAGACTTCTGCTGGTCGGTTCCTGCAAGCCGCGATATGCGCAACAAAAACAAAATCTGTGAGACAAAGCACACCAGTCTTGCCGAGTATGGGTGGGTGCACCTGAGTCTGAGTCTTCGCCAGCTGTTCATCTTGTTCATACCAGAATGCGATGGATCCCAGGCCCGCTGCATCCGCAGCAATGGTGTTGTCTTTAGCCACGTCAGGGCTGCCGCTCTTGATCCTAACAGGGCAACAGACCTGAAAACCAGAAAATCATGGAATCGGGGGTCGATTAAAGCAAAACTGTTCGGAAACTGTGCTGGTCGGGTAAACGGACAAGCCCTGCCCCACCACAATCGCAAGGTCGCAGCAAACTGCTGGGCCAGGCCGGCAGACACCAGAGCAATCACCATAACCTGAGAGCTACTGTCGGGGTGGCCAAAGCGAAAAATATTATGCATGCTTTGATTGCGATTGAATATTATTAGGACTGTTACGATTGTAATGACGAGGAACATGATGATGAGGAGGATGAGGAGGATTATGATGCAATGATGATGATGATGGATGATGATGATGATGATGATGGTGATGGTGATGGACGGATGATGGTGTTGATGATGATAATGATGTTGGTGATGATGATGAAGAGGATGATGTTGATGGTGATGATGATGATGATGATGATGGTGCTGGTGATGAGGACGACGATGATAATTACTCGTCCTCGTCCTCCTTCGGCCCCCTCCTCCTCCTCCTCCTACTACAACTACTACTACTAAAACTACTACTACTACGACGACTACTACTACTACTACTCCTATTGCTACTGCTACTGCTACTACTACTACTACGACGACGACGACGACCACTACTACCACTTCTACTGCTGCTACTGCGGCTGCTGCTACTGCTACTGGACACTGCGACTACCAACTGCCACGACGACGACTGCGACTACGACTGCGACGACTACGTCTACGACTAGGACCACGGCCACGACCACGACTACGACTGCCAACGACACCGGCACCACCACCGTGAGCGAGACCGTGGCAGCGTGCGCTACTGCGCTAGTGCGCTGCTGCTACTGCTACTGCTACTGCGACAACTTCTGCAACTGTATTTCTGTTGCCATGCTATCAATAATGAGACCCTCGGCTGTTCATGAAGACCCTTTAAACGCACAGAAAGCTCCTACAGTCAGCATTAGTTTGGGAGTTGCGTGGCGCCGCAGCCTAAAGTGAGCTGAGAGACGCCCCAGAAGTGCAGCCCACGGATCAGCGGCACCCAGATGGGGAACCACGAGGCCTCATGGGGTCGTGGTCGTCGCTGTCAGGAGTCGAAGTAGTAGCAGTAGTCGTCGTGGTGGTAGTGGTGGTTAGCAGCAGCAGCAGCAGGAGGAGGAGGAGGAGGAGTAGTTAGTACTTGTAGTAGTTAGTCGTCGTGTCGGTAGTGGTGGTCGTAGCAGTAGGCAAGACGCTTAGACCACGCCTTACAAGGAAGCTCAGCTTGGAACTCCAAGGATTCATACAAGCCGTGAGTCTCGGCCCGGAGCTGACAGTAGCTCACTGTAGGACTCACACCCAAGAGCAAGAGCCTTGCTTTCCAGAGGTTACAAAACAATTTGTGCTTACAGGAGGCGCGCTCCACAGCGATATCCTAGCATCGCCTCTCATCCACAAGCCACAGCAGCTGTTTCGGATCCACCTGAAAACCTGCGGTGTACTGAACTGGCCTCGAAAGTGGTCGCCCATACGTCCGTTGCTTTCGGGTCGCAGACTGCTGCCTGCCGCGCGACGATTGTTCTATTAAGCGAGCTAGAGTCGGCGCCAATGCGCACCGACCCGGGCACAGGGCCGTAGCACAAATACTCCTGCTGCTATCTGTTACTACGATGGGTTCAGGGTTTAGGGCTTAGGGTTACTATGCTGCTGTCCGGAGATGCTTGCCTGGACCGGCATGGCGCCGTCAGTAAACCAATCGAAATGTTCGAAGGCACCGATGCAGAACTCAAAGATCAACTTCAAAGACCAGGGGACCTGCACTGGGAAAGATAGCAAGCGCGATGCACTGAGCAGATTGGGCATGGGCTTTCGGGTGTAGGGGTTTAGGGTTTAGGGTTCCATCACCCTAAACCTCGAGGGCGTTTACGAATGTGGGATGATAGATGCAGAAGGTGCTATTGGAGTCGAAGTCTAGTTTGGCAATACCAGCGGAGAGTGTACCCGCGAAGGCCACAAGCAAAGGCCGATCTTCTCTGAGGTCACGGCTCACTAGATTTACTCAGGCCTAACGTTGATGGCTCTTCTGGCTTCAGGTACTGTCCGTCCATTTCGTGTTTGCAGAAGCTGCGGTTCACCGGATCCCCGAGCTCAGCACTAACCTCCAAAGAAGGCCGATTCAGAATGGGACCCCTTCACAACGAACAGTCTGGCCAGCCGGCACCACACTTGATCAGGTGTCGTGCCACTACTAGTAGCAGCTTTTGTGTAAACTCCCGACTGCTGAGAGACAGTACGATTCCCACATCGCCTTGCAGGTGAGTAGCTGGTTGCAGGCAGTTTCGAGATCCTTCTGCATCTCGTCGCAGACCTCACAGCCGAAGCCACGAACTATGTTGTGGCTATAAAAGCCACACTACCTTCCCAAACACACATGTCCTCCATTGTCTCCCTGAAAAGTTGAAGCTGAGCTCTCCCGATCCGTGTTTGGCCACTTTGACGGACGAGGCCTCGAGCTGCTGAAGCAGTTGGTACTCGATGTACTTCGCACGAAGCAGCACTGGGACGTACAGTAAGTAAACCCAGGTCGGCGAGCCTCCAGCGCAGGTGGTCCAAGGGGCTGCCACGAGGGACAACAAGGGAAGCAGCCACATCAGGCGCATCTCACATCGCAGCTTGCGGCCAACCTCCCGGTGTATCTTCTCCTTGATCTCCTCCTTCGCTCTCATCCAAGCTTCCTGTTGTGCTGCCGCTGCTGTTTCCAGGACTTGACTCAAACCTTCCACGTTCTTTTTCCCGTTCGACGTCGTTCCACAGGAGAAGCATACGTCAGCTTGCTGCGGCTGGTCAAGCTGGTGGTCAAAGGCCCACGGTGTATTCTGTGCTGCTCGCTCTTCGGCTTGTCCGCGTGATTGCACCAGGAATTCACGATCGTCTTTGGTCATGTCTTCCTCTTGCACCGCAACATTTGTGCAGACGCAACAGCATATGAACTGGCAGCACAGGCACAGCAGGCCAAGCACGGCTGCCAGAACGATGGACCCGACGGTCCATTCCTCCATAGCTTCGACACACCCCTCCAGCTGGCACTCCCTTTGAGCCAACCCTAGCACCCAAGAAAAAGATTACGATGATGATGGTGATAATGACGAGGACGCATGAGTACTGCTGACCATGTTCATGACTACCATCATCAGTATCACCGCCGTCATCCCCATCATCGTCAGCATCATCACCCTCCTCGCCGCCATCATCACTATGTCTGGCTTGCAGACCCTCAGCAAAGAGCTGCAGGTTCTGCCAAATTCTAAGACAACAGCTGATTGACTGATTGATAGAATGATTGATTGATTGACTGACGGATTGTCAGATAGACAGACAGATCGGCAGGCTGGAAGGCAGGCAGATAGCTAGGTATCAGGTAGCTAGATATAGTTCGGTAGCTAGGTAGCTAGGTAGCTCGGTAGCTCGGCAGCTCGGCAGGTAGGTAGCTCGGTAGCTAGGTTCCCCACATACTCACGCTGTAACTGGCGGAGCATAACAGGACGACATTTCCAATTTCTGTGAGGGAAGATTCCCCTCAAATGAGTGGCATGCTCGCTGTACACCGAACTAAAACCGTGACCGACGTCCGCTGAACGTGCGGTGGGATTGACCGAGATTGGTTCAAAAGAAGGCACCATCCTCAGCATGAGTCTGAACTGTGCGCGCATGCCGGCGCGAAAGGAAACAGAGACACTTGTCGTCTTCTGCGCCTGTACACTTGAAACATGAATGCCTTGTACCCTAAACCCTACACCCCGGACCCGAAACCCTAAACGGCCCTACACCCTAAACCTTAAGCCGTCATGGACGTCATGCTTGCTTCGCCTTCTTCTGCCAAGGAGGAGCTGGACCCGGAGGCAGCCGCAAAGACCTCTCGAGCAGACATGACTGCCTGGTGCTTAGTAGGGAATGGGGGAATGGATCCCTATATAGGGGCCTTAATAGTTACAATCCCCAATGATAGTCTCCACAATCCATTCCACCATTCCCTACTAAGAGCCGGACAGATGATTCTTTCTGGGCCCGCCCCTCTCGTGCGCGAG